GCTCTTCTTCTTTTTCTTTGTTTGTCCACCTTTTCTTGCTGCGTGTCTCTCGCCCACTCTCTGCAGATTCGAATCGTCTGGGTGAATATTGCAGGTCTGGAGTGAATCACCGCGGGCGCTCTACTTATGGCGCGCCATTTCTCTGCTATAGGGGTGCGTTCCCTTGTGACGCGGTGTTGACTTCGGCCCGCATCTGCGTCACTGAACATGCGCGCTGCGTCAACATTTCAACCCAATGATGCAAGCTCACATTAACCTGGAAATTGCAGTGCTGCTCTAAGTAAACTGCAAGAAAATTATAGTCCAGTGAGCAACATCCTGCTCTAGGAGGATTTTTTTAAAGGATTTTTCTTCGAGGGTGTACATTTACGCTTGCGCTGTTTCTTGAGGGTATTGGTATCTATTGTAATTGACCTTATTTTAGCAAACTTTGCCAGAAGGCATGGAATAAAATATTTTAGAAGATGGTCTACTATAAATGGTCACCAGAATAAATGTCTGAGAACTTTTGATGAACAACAATCAAGTTAACAGTTCCTTTTTGTGTGTGTAGACATGTAGCCAAATCTCTCAGTACAGGTAGTCATTGAATTAAAGTACCAATTTCGTACATATCTTTTTCTGTCTAGATTTAATATGTATATTACTCGGTATGCGGTTATGCGGTTTTTTAAGCGGTATTTAAACCGAATTATCAACATATCGATGTTGAAATCAAACCAATCAATCAGCGTGAGATTGATCAATTTAATGAATCCTCATAAGGACAATTTGACTTTAACTTCAGTGGGTGTTATATACCACCAGCCAATCAATCCATCAATCATGAAGTGGAAACATGGTGGCATTCTGAAAGCGAACATAATCCCACACAACTCACAATTGGATGATAATTGGTGAAAACTTGAAAAGATCGCGAGCCGATCCAATTTGAAGCAAGTGCTCTGATTTCATCGATAAATTTATAATGACGCCTTTACTTGTATTTCGATGGAATCTCTCCCTCTCCTGTGACCTCCGGCAAAGGCTAACTTGCAACAATTACGACGGAGGTGACATCGGGCAATGGAAGTCAATTTTCTATCAATTATTGTATTAATCTATAACGGAAACAAGGTCATTTATGCTACATCTTTGGCTGTTGATTGATTGATATTGATCAACTGATATTAAGAAATTGTAAGCAGTTTGAAACCATGTAAAAAGGAGGAAATTGCTGAATTTGTTCTTCGTGTTCGTCTCGAACGACCAAACTTGTTTTACCTTCAAGCGTCAACCGACAGGACTTCTATCAAAAAAGTTGTCTGAAAATTTAGACGTTTTCACCTCAATTCTTCGCTAAACTCATTTATATGAAATATAGGAAACCTCGCTATTTATTTACCTCTCCAATTCGCTCCCAGTAGCTCCTCCTCTCTTTCTCTCTCACCCCTGTCAATCTTTGTCTTTGCCCCTCCCATTCTCTCCCTCTCTCTCTCCACCCCTATCAATATTGGTCTTCACCTCTCTCTCTCTCTCTCTCTCTCTCTCTCTCTCTCTCTCTCTCTCACACACACCTCTATTAATCTTTGTCGTCGCCCCTCCCCTTTTCTCTCTCTCTCTCTCTCTCCACCCCTATCAATATTTGTCTTCACCTCCTCTCTCTCTCTCTCTCTCTCTCTCTCACACACACACACACACACACACCTCTATTAATCTTTGTCGTCGCCCCTCCCCTTTTCTCTCTCTCTCTCTCTCTCTCTCTCTCTCTCTCTCACACACCCCTATCAATATTTGTCTCCACCCCATTCTCTTTCTCTCTCTCTCCTCTCTCTCTCCCGTATAGCTCATGCCAATCATCGTGCCACACGTGTTTGTAGCAATGTGTCATCTTTTTACGACTTTTAAAACAAACAGCATGGAGTGTAATTGACAGATGAAAGAAATCAGGCCATTACCCTCTTTGTCTAATCCAATGACACATACGTGTACAACTTCGAAAGGCAATGTGAAAGTCCTCAATCAATCAATCACTTACCCTTTTCCTTGAACACCCATCCCTCCCCCCCCCCCCCACTTAAATCCTCTCTTAGTACTTGCAAGGCATTGGAACCCAATCGTTAATAATGTATTTTTTGTACCATAGTCCTGACATTTGTAGTTTTGTGTAAATGAACAGCAGGTTACTAAAAAATATCCAAGCAAAAAAAAAAAATCAACAAAAATACCAAGCAGGACCCCCCCCCCCCCATTTATCATGCAAAGCAAAACAAAGCAAAACAAAGCAAATCATAACAAGGCAAACCAAAAGTTAAGACACTTATTTATATATTTGTTTTAGTTTTTTCCACATCAACTCTCCTTTCTCTTCTCTCTTCTCTTTCTCTCTCTCTCTCTCTCCCTCTCTCTCTTTCCCGCTGTCTATAACCACCTCTTTTTGATTTATCTCTCTTAGTAAATCTTGACCATGCAGTTATGAATGCTCGTTCTCCTTGTATTACAGGAAAAACCAACCCTGTATACAATTTATCAAGACAAGGAAATTTAGCGTCAGCTCCTCGGCGTACCCACCGGGGAGAGTGGGAATCATTAGACAATTTCCGTAAAATTGATGAACTCTGAGTTGGGATGACACGATATAATCCTCAAAGATAGAACAATCACATTGGCCCCCACGGCTACAATAAGCTAGTGACACTTTGATTTATTACAAGAGGTGATCATTTTCAAACCTCCATTGAATACCCCCTTCTCCCCCTTTTAATTATAACCATTTTACACCGACTTGTAGTAACTGGGATTTATGAATTGCCGGTAATTTTAAACACCTCGTAAATTCAGTCATTTCCGATGCCAGTGTGAAATTGATTATAGTTATCAGTTGTAATTTCTGCTCGTGGTTTGAATGAGTGCAACAGTAAGAAAAAACAAATTTCAGAGGGGATATTGAGAGTTAATTGGTTTAATGTCTTCCAAACTGCGTGCTTGACTCCGTAATCAAGTAACATAGTGGACACGGGGATCTCTCCACCCTCCCTCTTCTTTAGTAGGACATTAGTGAGAGAAAAATGAGAGAGAGAGAGAGAGAGAGAGAGAGAGAGAGAGAGAGAGATACAGGAGGGGGCGAGGAGATAGGGGAGTAAAAATGATGGGTTTAGTTATTCAGTCGTTAAGATGATGGATGGTTGCAGGTGGAGGAGGATTATAATATTCTCTAGATGAATAATTAGATTACGCACTCCAATTTGACGAAAAAAGATTGATGATACAAATTATATTAAGTTGTATGATCACAAAACACAACACTGCCATGATTTTGACCCACGGACCGGCACTGGAGTACTATCAGCAACTTTGAGGGGGGGGGGGGGGGTGGCAATTATAGTTTTCGGACATGAAATCAACACTTTTTTTACCATCTCAAGTTCTCAACTCTAATTCAAAGTGATTTACGTTAGTTAAGGGGGGGGGGGGAGAGTTAATTTACCCATCCTTAACAAATCGCAAAAAAACTTGTCACATCACTCACACCTGAGCGATTGAATAGTGCTTTATTCCATTTGTTCATTTAGATAAACGTAAACAAAACCAAATACATTGACGCAGCCTTGATGATTAAACATTTCAATAGCAAAAATGATGAAAAGCGATTCCCCAAAAGAGTATGCTGCCAAGGTTTTCAGCTGCTTTTATTTTGTTAAAGGTAAAGACAGTATTGGCAACGCCCCAATTTCAAAAAATGAAATGGAAGCTCTCATTACCAATCATGTGAAAGAATATGTTTTGACTAATACATGATGATAAAAAATTTGCCGGGAAACCGCCTACTAATTCATATATTTGGTAAACTTATTTCTCTCATGGTCTGGTGAGAGAGATAGGGTAGTCCCATATACATCTTTCTGTGTATAGTGCTTGTAACTTTACGAAGAATGGGCCAAATTTCTTATCATTTTGATGATTCCAGAACCTTGCAGATGCTAGATGCTAGATGATCAACCTTTTCTGATCGATTCCACAACGTTTCTTTCACAATGCAATCGCATGACCATTACTGGTCTTTACCTTTAATAGCGGAATCCCAATAATGACTTTGTTCAATTGCTTGGATTTGTGCATGATTTATATGCGTTGTGACAGACGTGTTATTTCAAAGCCTCGGAACTCGACGAGTGATTTTTCTTACTCATCAATTTCGGTTGATTATCAGAAGTTAGAGCAAGTGTATACCCCACACTCTCTGCACTACTAGTGTCATAGTTGTGCCAACCGACCACCGTCAACCAATCATTGTTATAACGCACTGTTTTACTCAGGGACAAACCAGTTAGACACTTGTCATAAAATGAAGTGCATTTCAATTGTCTTTTGTAATCAGCTTTTGTGATCAAGTGGACGGAGATTAAATGTTTGATTTGATGTTGTATTTTGAACTCAATATGGATATGGCTGCATTGTGGAATATAACGTTTATCCTACATTTCGTTCATTTACTTCTTCATGTAACACACGGTGATGCATTTATGAGCTCCAAAGGTTGGTTGGTTGGCTGCTTTAAACTACTGTCACTCGATTCTTTCGAAAATAAAAAAGATATTGCAGCATCATGTATTCGTTTGGTGTTTTATATCTTTCCACGCGATGGGTATATTCGAAAGTAGGCGTCAACTAAAAGTATCAACACGATGTAATTACTTGCACAATTCCAGCTTCTTGACAAAAATTAGCTTATGTGGGGTTTTGCGAGTTTGTGGGGGTATTTATCTTCGAATTATAGAGAATAAAACTTTGCATGATTGGCAAAGTGAGCATTAAAGGTCGACCCGTCGTAATGGTACGCATTTCAAATCCTGTGTTAGTGTTGTGAAAATATTAATTAAAAACCAATTTCTTTTGATTTGCCTTTAAATAGGTACCGCTTTCAATGCGTTCAAATGGCAAGTAAGATGAGCATATTTCAATACAACTTGACGGTCTGATAACGAACAATATCGCCATGTATTTAACCTGTTGTCTCATTTCTTTCTTTTTTTCCTCCAGGTTCAAAACTGGTCTGCGAACTTGAGGGGGAAGAAGTTACACCGTCGATTTTAAAAGGAAACCCATGTATTAGCTGTTTTTGTAGGGTAAGTCATACTACTGTATTCAGTTATTACAATATCTCATATCAGTTTAACCTGAACTATGAGAATGAGCGTTCATCATTTCAGGCTGCTTGTCAAATTGTGTAGAACAAATTTGTATTTCAACATAATCTACAACAGCACTCATTCTATACATGTATATACGCTCTCCTACCACTTTCGCAACTTGCACGAAACTGTCACGAATCTATACTACTCAAGAAATTCGCGATCATTTCATGTACGCCAAAGTCGTTCAGCCTAATAGCGTACCTAACTTGCAAAGGTACACTCCCTCAAAGATGCATGTATTTGTCGCTTTATTCTATATCTGTTGGTGGCCTTGCATCTCTACATTCTTGTACATCATGGGAACTTTCTGGCTTTCTTTCTTTCTTTGGTATCTGGTATTTCACCCCAGAAACCATGATTTGTAGGGTACATTCTCGGCTTCTACACCCAGTCTCGGGTGACCACCCAAATTTGCGCATTACCCCACTTTCGTTCCCCGGAATGGGATTGGAAACGACGTTATGCTGATTGTTATTTATGGCGGTTGTGTTGGCGGTCGAACTTGACTACCAGTTTTGGAGCATCGTGGCCCGCATTTTGTGTGATAAGGGGTATTTTCAATGCTTTTTTTTCGCGGTACGGCATGGACTCTGTCACCCATACTCGCAGTTCATTTGTGTGACATCAACATGATGAACATTACTATGCTTCTCTAGCTCCACTTTCGTTCAATTCATGTAGATCTGCTTTCCTTGGAACTCGGTAGTTTTTCTTTCACCATCCATTTCTCACTCGTGCCTTTTTGTTTGCATGCTTGGTTGTTTTCTCCTCCTCTTGCGTAGTAGCTTCTTTCAAATTCTATCTTCTTCCCCTCAATGCATTTTCTCCATCTGTTACTCTGTCTACCTGTCCGTCTGTCTATACATTTCTGTATTTATCTTTTTATCCCCTCCCCCTATTTCAGTCTGCCTGGATGTTTTTTTTTATATATACCCTGTACTATTTCCATGTTGCTGTCCTCGTATTTTGTAGACCCATTCAGCCTTCGTACCAACGTTTACATTACAATCTGATAATAAAGGAAATTATTAGAACTACCGTATGGTTTCAATTTAAGAAATTGGTTGAGAGCATGTTTTTTAAAAATGTGATATTTCATAATAATATTCTTAGTGATGCCTCTGATTCTCTGACAAGAGGCTAGAAGAGGGGTGGGATGGGTGAATTCACAGGGGTGCATGGCAGGGTGGGGTTATGGGGAGGGGTCATTAAGTCGACCAACTCGGTTTCATTAGATAAATGCGACCCATGTAACATATATCCTGTTTGAAACTCGATACACGAATTATGACTTCATTTCAAGCAGGTCCTAGGAGGGTTAGCGAAGTAGGTTGCTCTTTAGGGCGATGACGAAATGATCGTAAATTATGATGAACTTGGTTTCGAAATGAAGACCACATATCGAATGCTTCCGGCTTGTATTTACATTGCATCATTTCATGTCCGCGGGCTAAATGTGATCTTTCATTCTTTCATCTTACTCCGACATCATGGCGTATATCATCGTTAAGTGTCTTTCCGGTTGTTCACTGTCCACCCCTCCTCCACCTCCTCCACCTCCTCCTCCTCCTCCTCATCCTCCTCCCCTTTCCAACATAACTTTATAAGCTCCTGAGAAGACCTGACAGTTGGGGTATTTGAAACAATCTCAAAACTTATTGATTAACTTTCCCAAACAACGCTGGTAATTTTAAGTTGTAATTTTCCCGGCCCTTTTATTATTCGCAACACGTTCATATTTATTCCAAATATTCGGTGATACATACCACGCGTTTTGGGGGTGATTTCTATCTTCTTTGCATGGCAATTTATCGCATAATCTAGCTTCAATTATGGTATGTACTATATAGCCCATATTTCTGTCAAAGTTCAGGATATGAACCAAAAAATAGAAAAACGATTTATTTTGTCACCCCTAATTGAATTGCTGCTCAATTATATCACACGTTAGCAACCACCAACTACGTATTAGGATCAATAGAATAATACGAAGAGATACTATCAGATTATCTGTCGATAAGATTCATTTCTTTTGAGGCGAAACTGTTTTTTGATTTGTGGTGATAAGTTGATGACATTCGATGATCCTAGATAAGCTAATGATGCACCGAACAAAGACTACATCACAATGTTATCATTAGATCGGCCCTTCCCATTCACTAGAAATTCAGATCGAGATGATATCGCATATCAAGCGAGAGATATAGATTTTTTTTGAAGAATCATGATCATGAATTATATCTATTTTATACGCTGATGGTTAGTATAGGAAGTTTCATAACTTTATAATGTAAATCCTCGAATCCCCTCTTCCTCTCATTTTCTGTCTCTGTCTGTCTCTCTCTCACCCCATTCTCTTTCTCTCTCTTGTCTATTCTCCTATTTTTCATTCTCCTCGTTACTTTAAAAAAATATATTTGTAATATAAATAATTCATTAGTCGGATGATAATTTGTGTGTGTGCGTCTGTGAATTGTTCAGTGGAAGAAAAGAAATTAATATTTGTTGTAGTTGTTTCACTGAGCTCGTTATTTTGTGGTATATCACCCTAGCTGCTCCCCGACCTTATCGTTTTCCATAACTGTAATTTCATCCACTGAACATTAAGCTTCAACTAATTCAGTTTTTGCATATTTACACATTCATCACCTATGTGTGATGTGCTTTCGTGTCTATTCATTTCCGTTTATTGCTCTCTGTGTGTTTAATTCAATACAATATTTTATTCTTTGCCGCACGTAAATCTGGGGTCAAAACAGGACCCGAAAGGTAATTTGACGTCATTCCAACAATTACACATTCCTATATTTTCGAGATATTATCTCTTGATCATCTCGATATATTCAAGTGGTGTAGAATCAACATGATTTATGTGCTACTAAATGTCAAAATATGATAAATATTGATCGATGTGGGTTAAGGGCCTATAAACTACAAAGACGGATTCTAGTACATGTCAATCCTGTCATTTTCTTGCGACAGTAAATTGCTTGCGAGGGTTGTTTCTTACTAACACAGCAACGTTCGTCCAAAGTTCGAAAAAACAGTTCTGAGAACAATTGATTCATGGAATTTTACACGTTTTAGGAATGATTTGTGCTTGTTGGGAAGTCTGTGATGTGTTATGCAATTCAGTTGTAAACTAGCATTTTTAATAAAACAAAACATCTTAAATTTGGATACGCATCTGAAAGGAATTACACATAGGGCATAATGGATGGTAAGACAGGGGAGAGAGAGAGAGAGAGAGAGAGAGAGAGAGAGAGAGAGAGAGAGAGAGAGAGAGAGAGAGAGAAGGGGGAGGGGGAAGGGGTGGTGGAAGAGGCAAGACAATATGAATACTCCCCCTTCATCTACATGTAACTGCGAAACTTATTCTATGAAGAAATGGGAGGAGCTCTACAACATGCATTTCGCATAGGACCATATAGCGTACCAACTGACCCCTCTTTCAAGTTGAACAAAAAATTGAAGTAAGAACTAGTGAACACCTTCAAGCTTATCAAGAGTCCTCAAAAATATTATACTTCTTATTAGGGGAAGTCACAAAAGTGCAGACAAGTCGATGATCGTTTACTTAGACACAAAGGACTAAACGACAGGACTGGCGACTTTTCACGAAAACAATACGAAACCGCGATTGAAAACAATCATTGCCAGTTACTAGAGAGGTTTTATTCAAATATCAACTGACCGCTCATGCATCAGGACCTGACAGACGGAGTGTTCCGGAGTTTGTCCGTCTTTTGTCCGTTTTGTCCGCCATGGTCAAGCAAAACAAAGCTATCTTGGGCATCTACAAGTCAATTACAAGCGGGCGGAGTTTGAGGTTTGTACGACGCTGGGTCGCGTTCAGTCAATCAGTCATTTTCAGATTTCAAGGAGGGGGGGGGGGGGGAGTCGGGGGCTGTGGTTGCGGTAGATATGAAACGTCGAAGATGTCATAATTATCTATGCTTGTCATGGTGGAGTGGATTGCTTGATGGGGTGGAATTAGCAAAGCGATAAAACAAAATAGCAAGGATATACACAACCTATAAAAACTCCCATCCCCATCTTTTGGGTCTGACGTTTCCACTTACAATCATTTTAGATGGTTGGGTTACAGGAGATAACCTTATCGATGACGTCATTTCGGTATGTTAACGAAGATGACTCTTCTGGCTAAACTGTACCTGTAAGATTGTGAGGACATATAATTTCCAAAAAATACACCATTATTATTTTGTATGTTTCACCCCCAAATCCAGCATTCATCTGCCGGCCTAAGTTAAAATAGTGGCCCTTAATTGAAACTAACAAATATTTTGTTGATACAATTCTGAGGAATCATTTAGAAGTTCACCATGACTGATTTACGTATCTTAAGTGATTCGAATACTTGTGACATCTGTTAATCAACTACTGACGACCCAATTAATTGCAGGGCCTACATGTATATATCTGAAATACAATTTTAGTACTGCTTAAATGAACGTTAATCATCTTTGATATTCATAGCAACACATGCATGCATGTTTTTTATCAGTCATTAAGGGTTTTAAAGAGAAGGTACGGTTCTGGTAGAAATGAAAAATAATGTTTTACTTTTATCATTCGTCAGGTTGGAAAATATTCCCTGAAAATGATGTTTTCACATATGTGTGTGTAGTCCCATTTACGGATTTTTGTGTGCAGTGCCTGTGATTTCCGAAAGAGTGAATCATTTTTTTTGCTCTCCATTCAATCATTCCAAAACGTCACAATACACATTAAATTCTTACGCACTACACAATCGACCGTTCCCGATCGCTTCCAGATAGTTTCGTTCACATTATAATCTGCTAGTACTGAACTTTATCTTTGAAAGCAGGTTTGGGGTAGAATTATTGATCGGACTAATTGGTGTGCATGGCTCGGAGTGAAAATTGAGATATCTTCCAAAAGTACGAGGACCACCGTTACACGTATGGCATCAATTAGTATTCTGACATTTGTCATATCTCTCTGTAAAAAAAGGAAGAAAGAATCTCCCCCCCCCCCCCAAAAAAAAAAAAATGAAAAATGAAAAATGAAAAATGAAAAAATGCGGAAAAAATAGGGGAAAAAATAATCCACATTCTTTTCTGTCGGATAATGTTACCTTTAGGCATATATTCGACATCCCAGTGAAATCTAATAACGTGTTGAATGATGACAAAATGAAGAGAGAATCAGAGAAAGAGAGAGAGAGAGAGAGAGGGAGAGAGCGATGGTGGTGGGGGAGGAGAGTAAGAGAGAGAGAGAGAGAGAGAGAGAGAGAGAGAGGGGGGGGGGGGTTTCGGAGTGGAAGTATCAGATTATCGCAGATTCCAATGGCATATTTTCCCCTTTATGAATTATCCATTTGAACTTCAATTAGGGTGGTCTTTATAGATTTGGCTAATATTGTCATGCTTAAGGGGACGTGCGATGAGATTTGCAAATTGGGTACATTTCGTACTTTGTTGTGACAAAAATATGAAGGGGGAACAACTGTGTTAATTTAAAGAGATAGAGAGAAAAGGAAAGGCCAGGGGAAACAGATGGAGTGGGGGAGGAGAGAGAGAGAGAGAGAGAGATAGAGAGAGAGGGAGAGATAGAGAGAAAAGAGAGAGAGAGAGAGAGAGAGAGAGAGAGAGAGAGAGATTGCAAATTAGATACATTCTGCACGTTATTGTGACATAGAGATGGAGAGAGAGAGATGGAGAGAGGGAACAACGGTGGTAGACATTTATACATAGAGAGCTAGATGATGAAGAGAGATGGAGAGGGAGAAAGAGAGAGATAGAGAGAGAGGTACTATAAAGAAACTGATTTACATATATAGATAGATAGATGGGGGCTAAGAAGGAGAGGGGGAGGAGGGACAGGGAACTGGACACACCAAGATGAAAACAATTATGCATTAGGAAAAAAGAGAGTGAACTTGTGAAGGAGAATGGAGAAAGAAGAAGGGAAGATGCCTGTATATACATCTGAACGTAAAATGAAAATTAAGATGCATTACGTGTCTCCAAATATGCAACCGTATCTTAGGTTTGATTTCGTTTACAAACTACCTCTCTTGTCCCCATTGAGTGAGTCACCATTCCATTAGAAGATTATTGTCAGAGGTCGTGAGTATACTTGAATAACATGAATTATTCATGTAGAATAAACAAGATTATAAGCCCCTTAACTCCCATGCAATGTTCAATCGCCCTTCCTTGAATTTACTAATACATACAATAATATCAAAACCTTTAATAATTTGTGTTTCTATTTTATCTCGTTTTTATTTTCTACAGAATAAAGAGGTAGTTTGCAGAAGAGAAGTATGTGAAGATCTTGTTGATTGTGCATTAGTAATAACAACGCTGGGAGTCGACTGCTGCGAAAAATGCAAAGGTAAGACACAGTTTATTTTAACTATGTTTCTTCATCCTTCTTTTCTACCCTTCATCTGTTTGTGTTTACCCCCCCCCTCCCACACACACACACCCTCTCCTCTCTATTTCTCTCTTATATTTTTAAGTATTTTCGCTTTACTCCATCAACAATATCGATGCAATTATTTGTGTAGACAGCACTGTATCTGTGCCAGTAGCAATTCTAGAGGGATGTGGGGACCCCCCCCCCTACAGCGAAAAAAGAAGAAGAAAATTATTACCCCCCCCCCCATATTATCACGAAGCACACATAGAAAATTAATGCAAGAACCTTCGGAGCCCCTCCCTCTCCAAAATGTATTCTTTTAGAACTGCTCCTGATTTGTGTTAACATAATTTGGTCTTTAAATTACATTTTGTTAATGCAAGAGTAAAAGAAAATGTTGTGATAGAATAGGGACCATTGGATCATAACATTGCGACAAAATGCAAACAAAATTCAATCTATATAGCAACATCAGTAGGTTGGGCAGCGACAAAATCTCATCGGATTCGTCGTAAATAATTAATTATGGCGCCCAACAAAGTGAGCTTCTACCGATTTCAAACAAATCGTATACCGCAGTGGACTCTTCAAATCGGTGAAAAAAATAAAAACAAAAGGGTGGGAAACCTTATGAAGACAGAATCTCAATTATACGATTTAGTTATTCAATGCTTTTCAGCGGATATGCATGCTTAATTTGGCGTCTGTTTCCAACACACACCGTTCCAGGGCGCCGGTGTCTCAAAAGAAATACCCATCCTAAAAATAATCCTTTACAGCGATCCGTCCTTGGACGAGAAATAATATTTTGTCGTTACAACAAAGAAAAAGATCGAACCCTATTCCATATTGCGCATGGGATTTAGTTAGTTGAAAGGCATTTTGTGAAACTCGCGGAAGCTATAGTACTGGTGTTGCAAAGTAATTGGAGTGGAGAGACGATGAATGCATATCAAAAATGGAAATGAGTTTACATTATATACATCAAGAAAATCGTCGTAGGTTGAGGTCGAACTACGTTTCATACAATTTATTAAGGGTTGCCGATATCAGACAGAAGCTTGATACTATCTCTAATCTTATAAATACCTCTCCGGTATATAATTAATGGTCGTAAAGAACAGGAGAGGAAATGAACTTTTAAATTAAGGATTATCACAAAACAATGAAAAAGTTAATCTCATAATTACAGTATGATAAATCAAAACATGGTCGTAAATATCAGTTCCTTTACATATTCAGAAACTTCAACCTACCTTTAGAAAGAACAAATTAAACTTACCCCATGAAACCTTGACAAAATGAAAAACATCCGAAGTCAAACAAGTACTTGTCCCTTAGATATGGATTTGTTTTGATAGGGGGGGGTCTGTATTCATCAAATCGTGCACAAATCAAATACCAACTATCTCTCCTAAATTGAGCCAACTAAAAGAAGGATTATCCCATTGAATGTGGGATCATCATGTTTTGTATTCAAGCGGAAACGGACTTGTGATGGGAAATCATTTTTTTATTGAAAAACACAAAAATACACTTTTTGATAACCTTGATTAGGGATTACGATGATAACAACGCGCGAAAATAATTATGAAACCTTTGAAATTATCGCGATAGATATCAATATTTCAGATAATGTATCCTTTCCAACAAAGAGAACACAATAAATTAGTGTGTTGTAATCTTTTTGATCAGTTGATAGGCTATAATTATGGTTCTGTTTTCAAATTGCCTTCTTCAAATGCTTTATGAATGAAGTTAAAGTTCAGGTCACTGTGTAATCAATTCAACTGATGTTCTTCATTGTACCAATATCCAATTCAAAACATGATAATTATAACAGAAGCAATCAAACAAACAAAACAGTATCAATACTACAAACAGCAAAATAAAGAACACAAACATGAAAATAAAAGGGGGAACTGGAAACAGTGAGTTGGTTCAGCGCTTATTAGTTATCACTCTCAACTTAATGAAATTCCTAAACATGGGATGGGCAGAAGCTGGGCCACCACTGAAGTTAGTATGGCAAGGACGGTTAAATACGATAGGTCCTAGTATGTGACCCTGAGGCACGTAACATTATACCACGTATCCGGGCCACGATATATCGTTTTCGCCTCCTAAATTCGAACACATCTCCAAAATGTGACGGTTTATTGAGTTTCACATGAAATCGATATCGGTCTAATTGATTCGCGGGTATGGGCATCGAAGTAATCTTAACCTTCGTCCCCAGTCGTTACGTCTGGTACCTCAGAAGAGGTCATAAGAAACTTTAAAAAATGAAAATGAAAATATGATATCTTAGATCTTTGATAATGCTGCTCACTTCTATTTTAAATCGCATTAAGGAACTAAATTTGACTGCATTTGCAATACAAAATAAAATTGATTTCACTGTCATGGACATCACTTTGTAGAATGGGTCACCGTGTAAGCAAGCAAGACTACACTCTACAGTATGTTTATCTAAAGGATACCCTCAACAAAATGTTTAATTGGCAGTATCATTGCACAGATCGTGTTTCTAGCATTCACTATACGAACTTTTGAACTGGTTAATTTGAAGGAGGAAAAAGTAGAATCGTAAAGAACATAGAAAATAGAAGGAGGTAAACGTGGTTAGAAGGGTACATCATGATTGGGTGGCTAATTATGAAATGTCCATTATGATTATGAATCGGATGTTGAAATAGAGCGATAAGAAAGTACATGATTATACATTGGTCGATTTTTTCGACAATTATAAATGAAAAATGGACCAATGGAGACGATAATAGAGAAACACGTGCTGTTGAAGATATTCTCACTGATGAAGACTCACAAGATGCTGATAGCGATGACGAGGGTGATAAGCAGAAATGAATGGGGAAGGAAGTGATGGATGAGAAGGAGGAGAAGGGAGAGGGGAGGAAGGGGACCAATCACCGACGATTGGTGAGGTGAATTTGAGAGCCCCATCCCTCCCCCCCCAATTACCACCATCTCATCCCTCCGCCCATCCTTAATACGCAAAGGTTACCATCAAGTTTACCGTCATTGTAATTCTTTTTATGACCGGTTTTAAACACAATTAAAAGATCGACTGTTTAATAGCAAAGTATTTTGCTGCGATAGACAGACTAAATCAAAGGAATACTAAAGGCATTCAATTCTTTTGTGACCAAGCTTGATTACAAAATATTTTATGACTAAGCTAGTTACCGATATTCTATGCGTTTCTTTATAAATATTCATCAACTCTCACGAAATTTCGTCTATCGCAAAATTAGCGATGACGCCAGTTTTTGTTGCTATACCCAAGTAAAACTTAAATATGATATTAAACCACAATAATCAGATTAGGACAAAGGATTTTCGCATATTAATTTCCGCTTTATAAAACCTGAAATGGGATATACTTTATATCTATACACGCAACCATCCTTTGACATTTTCCAAAGCTAGGTAAATTAAAATGAATATTACGGTTTTCAATGAGTTTTCATTAGTATCCGACAATTATTACATACCGCCCGTATTGAAAGAGATTTTTACTACCGCTTAATGGACAATGTATATTTGTTATGATTATGTCTATATTGGTATCCCGTTAAATGCAGATGCATCCAAGGCATAACTGGTATATAGCGGACAGACCGTTTTGTAGTTTGCCCCCCTTAAAACCAATGGCGCCATAGCTCATTTGGGACGTCCACGGGGACTAAGGGTCCACAAGCGGAGCATTCACCCGTACCCGCCGGTTATAAGCGAATATCAAACCATATACCCTGGAGCGGACGAACTTTGAGCACCGCCCCATCGCTACATCTTACCCTAGCCCTCCTCTCTTCTGTCATCGTAATTTAACCCTGATCAGAAGGGTCTGTTACGATGGCAAACTAAAAAAAAAAAAACGACCTCAGCAGTGCATAAAGCCGCCATGACTTAGCAAATAATCCGTGGGCGCGCTTTTAAATGTCGAGTGAATCAAAAGACGGTCTGTCGTCTGTAACCTTTGAGTTACATTTTTATTTATAATCATGGAAATAAATTGGTAAAACAATCATCTCGATATGACATGCCCAACTTTGACTATTTGTCAGTTTGAATCTCTAAAATGCTACTGATTATAGAGTTAGGAAGCAACTTGAAAAGTTATCCTTTCCTCCCACTTATGCTTCGCTTAAAGTTGCATGGTGGTTATGTTTTCGGGAAGATTACTTCTCTTCATTTTACAAATATTTACCAGAGTTTTTATCTTGTTACTTACTTTTCAAATTCTAATTAAGTTGTTTTTGCACAAGTCACGTGCATCTTAATGACCATGCACATGTCGGGCTGTCTGCGGAATATGAAAAAGACGCCAAGCAAATAGCCCACAATGGCAATTCACTACATGTTTTTATCGAGCTATTTAACTAGCTATATCATGATCCAACGAAGGAACGGAACTATTATCTCTAAACAATGTTAAAGTATTATATCCTAGTATGTATTTATTTAAATTTTATATAAATTTTGATTTTTTTTCTTCCCATGCAGGTTGCCGCTATAATGGGGATGTTTATAACAGTGGGGATACGTGGGCTGCCCACGATGATCCATGTAGAACATTTCAGTGCCGGGTTAGTACAGCTGATGACATTCAGTTACATTTCATATTGCGCCCTTTATATTTTTTGTTTTTATAACGCACACTTCTTCTTCTTCTTCTTCCTCTTCTTCTACTTACTCCTTATCCTCCTTACTCCTTCTCCACGTCCTCTCTTGTATTCTTATCATTCTTTCCCTCTCCATCTGCTCTTTTTTTTAATTCTCCTTCCCTCTATCCCTTCAAATTCTCTTTCATATTGCTCTGTATACGTACATGTAGTTCGTCCTCTGTCACGATTATATTACTATTATTACATTATCCCGTATTACTCGTACTACAACAATATTGTTTTAATCTGTATTTAAAACCAATTAAAACAAATCAAATTAACCCATAACTTCAATTCAGTCAACAATAAAAGACATTCATTTTCATACAGACCTTTAATAAGCTACATGTACTTGTCATTTCGTCGTTGTCTGGTTTGGAGCTAACCTTAACAAAGTAATGTGTCATGAATACACCTGCCCCGGTCATCCGATGACACGAAACGCTTCAGAACGACAGGTGCACCGCTTTGCTGTAGTATTGGAAAGATAAATCAATAGCAAGCTACGTTGATAACCTCTTCATATATAGGAATGCAATATTCATAATGCAGAAGTCCATAATGCTACGAGCTGAAATCAAATCAAATGTAGGCATCGAATGTTCTTTGGATTGAGTCATGAAAAGTATTGAACATGAGAAAAAGATGTGGTATTTTGAGAGACCTTTATCTTGTTTGATATCACACAAACAATTTAGCAAGTAGATGACGTGGTAATCTAATCAATACTTGATATTGAACAGAAACAAAGTGTGCATATTCGCACTGTACTTTGACATATCATAATCTTTAAAAAGAGTGTATGGATCCGAAACATAGATTCAGGGCTAGGTCTGAGCTATACAATTTTAGAATTTTGCTTTATTTGAACAATTCTAATGGCGAATGCCATTACAACCAATCATCTTTATTTTTTATGGCGATTTATTTGTTTAATTCATAACGATTGAAATGGTTAATATTATGAGGACAACCTCCGTTTCTCATGCATGTGTGGCTTGTAAGATGGTGTTTTCATGTTTTTTCTTAGCGGCTTTGATATTTTGCGTTTCTTCAACAAAGTTTTGAAGAATCTTTCTTGCAGTCGTGATATTAATGTTCAAACGCATGAATATGACTAGGGTACACTGACTTGCTTCATTGTGTGTTTGTATGAGTAATGTAAACCCTATCGTTGAAGCTCAGTCAAATCCATTGCTATTTGGCGTGAGACCTGTTTGACGTACAATGACAATGGTCTCGTAATCATGACGAGCGGAAATCCATTCCCTTCTTGACGGAAAAAGACACAAGTCGTCTGCGTCGGATCATAGTTGACAAATTTGATACTTCCTTCGTTCGGACACCTGTGGTCGAAGAGCAAGCCAAATCACTAACCCCATTGACTTAATGAAGTCGTCGAGAGAAAGTGCGTTAGATGCCGTTAAAATTGGGTGACTTCATTCCTGCCATCCACTGAGTCACACACGATTTCAAAGTTCAAAGTTTCATGAGATTTGTCACGATGTTATTACCACTTATTAGGTAGATAACAATATTTCAAAGTGTTATTAACTAAAGCCTCTGTCACGGAAACAATATTCAAAATCATTAAACTTTTGAAATTAATGATCGTTTGTTCATTGCTTTCTGTCTGCCATTGGCTTTCTTTAATAATCCTTTCTAATATTTCTATATTGCTCGTGATTCATTTTTGCCATGAACGTATATATTTTGTACACGCAAGGCAGTATCTTTTTTCTTGAAATTAAATTGTAATTATCGATGTCATCTTTTTTATTATCACAATTTCTTAAATATGGTCACGCTCACCTAAAATCTTTTCCTTCCCTCACCTTTGTTATTGACATCATCATAATCATCCTCATCACCGTCTTCGTCAAAATCTCTGTCATCATCAGCAACATTACAACCATCTCATCATCGAGATCATAATTATGATGCTCATGATATCATGTTCATCATCATTATTTCTACCACCATCATCGTCGTCATTATCACCAATACCATAATGAGGGTGATGATGATGGTGATGATGATAAGGATGATGATGATGATGATGATGACGATGGTGTACGTGGTGATGATGATAATGATGATGATGATGGTGGTGGTGGTGGTGGTGGTGATGAAGATGAAGATATTCATCACCACAACTAGCACCATCTTTGGCATTTTGAGCAACTCAGACACAACAATGATCACGTGACTTCACTTTTACCATCTTTCTTTATCTTACCACAGGAGGGCGTCATAACAGCATCCGTCATGCAATGCGAGCCAGTAGACTGTCCATTTGGCACTCAAGTGTTACCCGGGCAATGCTGTCCATCATGTGCAGGTAAGAATATACCCCTCTCCAAGACACCCCCCCCCCCCCCCTCCTCCACCTCCCACCCTTCCTATACAAGGATACGTGTCAATAAAGCTTAATTATAACTTTGCTTATTCGTCATATGATAACATTGGGAATGGATGAGAGCCTTTCGTCTGGCAAACTCTCCAAGAAGTGGCTGGAAGCTCTCAAGATGGGTGGAAAGCAAATACAATCTCAAATCAAAATTAAATACCCATCATTCGATAAAGCATGCAAAGGAGTAACATAGCAAAGCCTCGAAGGATATGATATTTTAAAACAAACCGAAATGACATTGAGCTGGACTAAGTTATTTTTCATATTTAACTTATAACTTAGCATGATTAAAGTTTTTTTCTCAATTCAATATTCGAGCAATAAAATACATAGACATGGTAAATATGATGTGAGGCCAGAGTCGATCTTGGGAGTCCCACATTTGATGAATTCACATCTATATTTGTTCGATGTTTTTAGAAGCCTTTTGGGAAATAAATTAAACTCCCTATTCAATCAGACTTTTCAAGCAAATTTCAGAGTCATAACCAAAATGTTTACCTTCACAACGAGAGATATAAAATAGCAATCTAAGTCGTAATCATTAGGGGGAGATTGTCTGTAGAAAGAATTATTCTGCGAGACAGCGCTAGGGGCTTGCTCAGGGCACCTACTCATACGGAATAATATTTTCTTCTCTCCTTTTCACCAATATATTTCCGTAATTTCTAGTCATCACCGTCGATAATTTGTAGATATTGGCGGGGTAAATGTACGATTTATGAAAACACAATTTGAGCCCGCCTCATGAATGGAATCGCGTGTCGTTTACTCGCTATTTAAATCTCGAATGCGTCCAAATTTGTATTTGGGGAAGGCACTGCATTATACATCATAATGAACACGCCAACTGTATGGCGCCAGATTGTTAAGTGGTGAAATTTTTGAATAGATTATATGATAATGACACATCAGCATTATGCCTTTTGCAGGGGAACATTTTCATATCGACTGCCTGATAGCATATAGCGGACCTCGCTTTGTTTACTTTCCGTTTCCATTTTCAAACCGTGCTCTGGGAAATAGGGGGAGAAAGGAATGGAAAATGATAAAGAAATATTACGAGGGATTAAGATGGAACAATAGTTCTCCATGAATAAACTGACATCTTGCGTTTGAAGAGGATGATGAATTGCATCTAAGAATCTATGAATTCGATGTTGACACGCACGCATTAATAATCAGTATGCCGTGCGTGGCCCGGTGTGTCTCGGGCTTAAAGGCGCATTAAAAGCTAAATCTCCGTGAAAGCCCTTCGATATTGCACTCGCATTGTTTAAAATCATCTCAAAAAGGCAGAATGGAAAACCCAATTACTGAATGGGAAAACAAATTGAGGTTAGCTTCCAAGGTACATTACAAATTACAATTTGAAAAGGGAATATCGAGGCTATGGCTGTGTAAATGGTGGTGCCCCCGCGCCAACCCGGCGCATAGTCAGTCGAGTCGCCGTCAATCGCTGGGAATTTCTTTTGAAAGTCATGCTTGTATACGGCTCCACCCGACTGGTTCAGAAAAACCTGGATAATGCGGGTGGAACGAGCCGCAACCAAGCAAACCATGTTTTGACAATCATCCCATATTTCTCGAATCGATCTGCTCTGGTGAAGGCAAGTGAACTGGATGGGACCCTGGACCAACCACCAAATACTCTAAAACTATGGAATAAATGAAAAACAAATATAGAAATGATAATTATATAAATAACTGAAATAGATTGTAACCACAGGCAAAATATATACTGACCGTATATGAATACACCAGTCTACCCTCCTTTTATTACCACCGTTTCAATTCTTCAGTATCTATTGTCTAATCTCCTTTGTCTCACTATTCTTTCTTCAACCATCTCTATCTGTCTTTGTCTCTGTCTCTCTCTCTCTCTCGCTTTACTTATCCCCCCCTCTCTCTCTCTCTCTCTCTCTCTGTCTCTCTCTTTCCCTATTTTCTTTCTTATTTATTCCCCATCCGTCTCCCCTCTCTCTTTCTCTTACATTTATTTTCACCACTTCTTATTCCTCCTCGTCCTTCTTCTCCTTTTCTCCTTTTTCTTCTCATTCTTCTTCTTCTTCGTCGTCTATTTCTCCTTCTTCCTCTTCCCTTCGTCCTTCTCCTTCTCCTCCTTCTCCTTCTTCTCCTTCTTCTTCTCCTTCTTCTCCTTCTTCCCTTCCCTTTACCACCCATCCCAACTCCTTCTTATACATCTTCTTCCTTATCGTTTTATTTTCTTAATTTGTTTGCATCCCAGGTTGTTCTGTAGATGGAAGGCAGCGAGCTGAGGGTGAAAAGTTTTACCGTGATTCTGATCCGTGCACGGCATGCGTCTGTGAAGTAAGCATTTAAAAAAAAATCCAACTGATTATCATGACATTGCCAATTTACCACCTTGATTTTAATCATTTCGTGCCCTTTCCATTTCAGTTTATTTCCCATTGTAAAAACCACTTATCCAATGACAGAGTTACGTGTTCGACGACGAAGACCACGTATATTGTCCACGCTATCCGATCCAATTCCATCAGCAGTTATTTAGCAAGAGTTCATCAGTTCATAACTTTAACATTGCTCAATACATAGTGATATTAGACTGAATTAACTTACTTTCTGTAGAGAGCTTTCGTAATTTAAAATTCTTTTTTGAAGTAAATGTAACATCTGTTTTATCTTCTAATTTCTTCTCTCCTCCGATCTGCCCCCTCTCTCTTTCATGCTTTTCTTTCTATCTACCTACCTATCTATCTATTTATCTTTCTATCTATCTATCTATCTGGCTACGTTTCTCTCCTCCTCTCTATCTGCAGAATGGAAGAGTCACTTGTTCCAAACAAACCTGCCCCGTCCTATCTTGCCCTGAATACCAAGTCGAAACACCGGAGGGGCAATGCTGCCCAAAATGTGTCGGTAAGTTGTATTATTTGTGGTAGCTAGATATGTAATGATCTAGAATGACTGGTGTGATTCAACATGTTAAAATAAGTGTGGGAATATATCGGGCATATGGACAGTTGGAACATTGTCCTCTTTGTTCACAATGTCCGTAGAGGTGGCTGACCATGTACATCACCTTTAGATTAAAACAAATACTACAACATCTTTCACCATTTTACATGGGATAACATGGGTCTCCAGTGAAGGAATTTTACCACTCTTTGTGTATAAATCGCATACCACATAATCTGATGTATTTTAAATATCTTCTTCATGGTCCTATACCATCATGATCGTTATCTTCCACTTCGTTCTTTCACCTATTCCACTGTTCACTCTTTAACAGCTCAAAGAAAAGTCTTCGATCTCGGGGACAGGTGCCTCTTCCGGAACAACATCTTTGACGCAGGACAGACTGTCTTCAAAGACAAGTGCACCAAGTGCGTCTGTTTGGTAAGTATACGAGGGATCCCCAACAACCTGTTTCCTTTTTCCTTCTCCCTAATGATTCTTTTCCTTTTCTAATTAACATTTTAATTACCCGCCGAGGAAACCATTTTTCGTCAAGCGGTGACTATTTGGGAAGCTGGGATTTCGCCGTAACCGGTTATCGCACTCATATCTCATCCTCCGTGCGAGATGATGAAATTATCTATTAGGTATCGAGGACAAGTAACAGCTTTATCCTACTTTTGGTGAAATCATATGTTTAATGAGAACAAACCGTGTGTTTATATTTGTGTGTGTGTGGGGAAGGGGCGTGTTCGTGTGTATGTGAAGATTGATACAGAATTTCATGATTGTTCTAGCAATGATATTATAAGTTCAATTTGGTGTCAATCCGGGTTACAGTTTCATAATGTTACAAATGGACTGTTTACGTATTAGGTTAAAGAAGGAGGGGAAGAGGAAGAGGAAGAGAAGAAGTAGATTACGAAGAAAAACAATGACAACAATGATAACAAGGCAAAATTATTAAATGATGATATTGATAGCAATGATGATGATAATAAAAGTAATGATAATAACCCTTTTTTATGAGGTTAGTTATGTCAAAAACTCCCATGCACTCTTCTTCAAATTCTTCATCGGAATTATGACCTCGGTCTTGACCTAGAAAGTAGGAAATGTCGAGGGATTATATTGGATTAAGTATATAGGCGCTGGATTAGGTTGCAACCTGCCGAGGGTGTCTGTTAACTAATTCATGTCGCTGCAAAGGTTAACCGTATAGGCCTATGTGGATTTGTGGAGATCGAGTTCATCGCTTAATCTCGATTCTTTTGAAAATGCAAATGAAAGTATAAGGATGAAGTATTTAATAAAGAAGATATGAAACAATAACACGATTGACTACAGCATACTACAATTATTGTAACGACAGTCATCATTAGCTCAATGATGTATAACGTTTTGAAAAGAAATGAAAGGAAAACAGACAAACAAAATGCAAAACAATAACCTAAACAGAATACGGAACACTACAATGATAGTTTTATATACTTTTGTATTTCATTTTGGCTGAGGAGAGGCATTTTTCCAACATTAAAACATACAAATGAACACCCATCCTGCTATCTTTGACCGAAATGCCAGGAAATTATTTACTCATTTTTATTTCATTTTTCATAAAAGAAACCTTCAACGTGTTCAAGAAAGTTGTTGCACCTCTCAAAAACTAATAATTTCCATCTCACCCAACACTTACACTGACCTCCTTTTGTCATGAGGTGATCGAAAGTGTACTTAATTATTGTTTATTGACCATTTCTTAAGTCCAAGTTTAAACACAAGGATGCTGCCCTGACGAAATTGTCACTGACTGGACATTTTGTATCTGGAACGAAATTCCTGTTCGAAACAAGTGTTGCCCATAACACATCCTGTCACTCATGTACACTTTTCGCTGCCCCCGCAGAAGGTTGATGACCGATATATATAACACATTTATATGTTAGAAACAATAGCTTGAGCCAGCCAGCTAGAACACAGATCCTGTCTTCGATTACAGTATAGTTCTTTCGCTCGGAGCAAGATCATATCACTCATCGTCTTTTGTCTTCTGGGGAAAGAGTTTTCGAGGAAGAAGTGTAAAGCAGAGCGGAAGCTGCTACTGGTTTCAGAATCGAGAGGCCCCTTTGGCCCGACATATCGAACCAGATGCATTGAGTTGTTCTAAATCCCTTGAAAATACCTTGAAATCTTAACCTACTTCGGTGTCAAGGCGTTGAAGATGAAATAATTATTTGACACTACAGATGTGTATACCTTATTGCTAAGGAATACATTGTATATGAACAGTGTACTTCTGAGGCAATGGTCGTTTGAGGGATAATTATACGAAAAAGAGGCGCAGAAAGAGGTAGAATGGAATATTAGAAGCGGATGATAAAATGGTTATTGTTGTTATTATTACCCGCAAGGGCTATTGCTTCCTCCTTAGCCAACATATATCTTATCATACCCCTCCCCCCTCATTAACCGCTGTGTTTCTATTTACCTCATTTACACACCCTTTCCAATTTCGGCAGTGTTTTTCTGTTGATATATATTTTTTCTGCACACAATAATGCAGGATAATAAATGTGGATTTGTACCATACCCGTGAAATGTGCTTTTAGAATGATGAAAGTTATTGGGATTCAATTCTTTTTTTGTATTGATTTGTTGTTGACCAATCAGTCTTCTTTAAAATCATGAGCTACGATTTAATAATAATTATTTTTTTCTCCACAAAAAAAATGTCATTTCTAGGAGTCAACAGTGATGTGTCACAGGGAAACCTGTCCTTCGGCATTAAACTGTCCGTCGGGCAATATCGTACAGGGAGATGACGATTGCTGTCCGCGCTGTGAACCTTTAGTGTGTGACGTCAACGGGACCAATTATCAGGTAGGACATTTTCCTTCTCCCCCTTCTTCTTCATCTTCTTTTTTTCTTCTGTTTCATCATCTTCTACTTCTTTTTTTTTTCTCCTTCTTCTTCTTCTTTTTTTCTGTGTCATCCTCTTTTTCTTCCTATACTTATTCCTTTTCTTATTCTTCTTTTTCTTCTTTTTCTTCTTCTTCTTCTTCTTCTTCTTCTTCTTCTTCTTCTTCTTCTTCTTCTTTTTCTGTGTTATGCTCTTCTTCTTCCTATACTTATTGCTTTTCTTCTTCTTCTTCTCCTTTTTCTTCTTCTTCTTTTTCTTCTTCTTCTTCTTCTTCTTCTTCTTCTTCTTCTACCTCTTCTTCTTCTTATCCTTCTCCTTCTTCTTCTTCTTCTTCTTCTTATCTTTCTCCAATGTCTTCTTCTTCATCATCCTTATCCTTTTCTCATTCTTCTCTTTCTCCTTGTTCTTCTTTTGTCATGAATGACTTATAGTTAATCTGAATTTGAAAGTTATGTATGAATTAAAAATCACAGTTTCCTCATCTTCATTAACACATGTTGCAAATTCTGTAAAAGCATAGCTATACACATTATACCATTTTTGTAAAATATCTCTATGTGTCATCGATAACGCGGATTGTACCGAGTTCCATTTTTCACCACTTTATTTTATTTTTATATGCAGGATGGTGACGTATGGCACCAATCTGTGTGTGAATCTTGCAGCTGCAACAGCGGAATTGTACAATGCAGGGTGGAAGAGTGTCGCATGAATCTTCAATGTGAATCGGTAAGGCAGCATGTCCTGCTTTAGTTCAAACACTACAATAAAAGTATTTATCCTGAAGGGAAAAAATGAGATTTGCAAAATATTAAATCATGTATTAACATGCGTCTGAACATCGCCTGTCTTTTAACGTTGCTGGAAAAAACACACAATAGGAACATTTGCTCACAGATCAAGAAATTACGATGTAACGGTATTTCAATGGAAGTTGGTTGACGCCATTTCGGCGTTAAGAGGTACCTCGCGGGTAAATTTGACTCCTAATAAGGTGTACATAAAACAAAAAAAAATGCTTTATCATTCACCGTTTTCGCATGCTGTTCTTTTGGGAAGATACTATCCACGATCTTTATTAGAGGTTATTACCGGAGTATTCTTTATAGGATAGTTAAGCAATAATATGATTATCTGAGGAATAAGAAAGGGAATGGGAAGGGGGGGGGGGGGGGGTTGTCAGCCTCTTAAAGTAGGACGGAGTATTCCTCCTTAGTCATTTCCTTATGGAAAAGGGCATTGTCAAATATCTTATCATCTCTACCTCGTATCTCATTTCATGCACTACAGCGAAGCCAGCTGTCAATAGAAATAGTGTGGAAATTGCATTAAGATTTGGCAGAGGTAACTTCCCGTGGATCAGTTAGAGTTTTCGATAAGTTGGAATTGGAAGTCGGATCCCGGACAAAGAGAGGGTGGAAATGCACTCCCAGAATAACAATAGATGGTGATTGGTGATCTATTGTCATGAAACAGGGGAAGACGGTGAATATGGGTGGAGAGAGAAATGGGAAGGGGTGGTTGGAGAGAGACAGACAGTCCGTGAAAGCGAGAGAGATTACTTTGCTTAGTTTGTTTGGTTGTTTTCAAAGCAGATAACAACAATTCGCATGCATGAACAGATGATTTGAAATACATTTAAGATTCCTGGCATGTCAATGATAAATCTTTAGCGTACATGAGTCTATCAATAGTTTCAATCTATTTCGAAATAAGAAATATTGATGTTAGGTCAAGGAACGCTTTCTAATTACTAAATATAGAGATGTTCCTAATCCTTCAAATCCCTTGGCAATTAACGGCTTTTAAGCAAAACTTTGTGACCCTGAGGTTTTACCATGCAAAGCATTCCTACCACCTAATCAATGCCAACATGGAAACAAGAAGAATAAAGTTTTCGTGTTTCCTCGGTCTCGGGACTAGCCAGGGACCTTGGATTCACTCATCCATTTCACTCGATTAAACAAAACTATGTATCGATTATTCGATTTCCGCTTGTTAATAGCTGCGGTATTCAACCACATGGCGATGCCATGCGGAACCACGTTTACACCCTTCATCTTGCCAATTCCAACGACCATTTAAGTTCCGGGCACACCTGACCAATTGACGATGACCATAACCAAACGATTAAAAAGTTTGTTCATATTAATGATACAGTATCTGTTGTATAGCGCATAATCAGTCCACCACTCGATGTGTTATAGACCCTCCAATACTACCCCAGGTCTGCGATTTGGGCGCACACGGCATGTAGGGAATACCGGTGGAGAGTGGCAAATGAAGATTAATGTCTTGCAAGTGAACGTCAGTGCTTTGGCACGTGCCTTGTGATCTGCAGTCCGGTGATTTATCCACTAAACCACAACACTATACCTTGGCCCTGTAACAAAAAATTCGACTTGCAATCAATCGTAAAAATCTATCGTAGTATCTAATCTTGCTCAAACTAATCGTATCTTACCAAATACTATATTATATTTTCTGAATTAAATAGTAAGTTACCATTCGTTGTAAGTTACAATTGATCTGAAAGAGATGCGATTAAATTTGGAGAATTGAAACTAATAATAACTTTTTAAGTTAAATGGCCCTGTTTCATTTATAGTTATCGATATGGGTGTCATGTGACCGGTACACTTTACTGATACGCGAACACCCAAAAGTGTGTCTGATTGGTTTAAGGGGGTAATGGGTATTAATTAAGGACATCGTAGTGGTCAGGCATGAAAGCACGTGCAAAACCTAGTGGACGTTTTGGCGCGATAGAATCGTCTGCTCCGATCAGGTGTACGTAAGACGATTGTAGATGTCACCTCTCGTGACGATTCTGGGTCAGCTATTCATCGATCTAGATCAAAGTAAAACCTCGGAGTCTTCGAGAGTGATATAAGAGATTGTAAAAAAAGAAAATGAAAATGTTGAGTATAGCCGATGTTTTGATGCAGTAGCAGATATTGTAAAGCGTTAACAGAACAAAAAATATTGCACAATAATAAAATGAATTGTAATTTCACTTGAAATGAGGGACGGATGAACGAGACAACTTAGTGGTCTTTGACGAGAATAAATCTTGAGTTTGAAAGAGGGAAGTGATGGAAACATATTTTTGTCAACACTTATTTATGGAAGATACATTTTCATTTAAATGCAAACTAGATGCCATGCTAGTTGCGTATACATCTTAAAGCATTTCGTATTCCCTATCTGCTGTTCTAGTTCAAAAGATTCATATATTTTACCGAGTTTGAAACGTTTTCTTAAGACACTTTTAAGAAGGGGGTAAATTTGTCGGCCATGAAGGAATCTGACCCAGTGCCAAGAAAGGCTAATCTGTCAGTTAATCCCCTTTGATTGTTTAAAGACTTCGAAGAAAATTTAATGAAGGAGATGCACACGTTTAAAACCATAGGCGTGAACAGAAAAATCCATTACCCCTTTGAAATACCGTTCCCGGACACTAATCAAGGCGATTAGTCTCTATACCGTATTGATTCATCGAATGATAGGTCAATCTTTAATGTAAAATACCTAGTGTGTAAACTTTTGAGAAATGGTATCCATGCAATTGACGGATACGCCAGATCTTTAAGAAAGGCCGTTGCACATAAAGCTACATTTCGATTGCGTTATTATCCCCCTCAACAATCCTGTAACAGAAATTAATCAATGCGTCAATAACTTAACGTGAGGGTTGCAGTTGATATTGCACAGAGGTTTCGTACGGTGTCACTCTCAAAATTGCGCGTCAAAGACATCACGAGCCGCTGACGCAGCCATCATAGCTACGTCAACAGATGACATCTCGAGTATTAGGGGCAGGAGATAGTGTATCTATATTCGGGTAGCTAGGAAAAGGATAGCAAAGTGATGAAAGGGCATCGTAAAGCAAAGTTCATGTTTGTGTCTTTGAATGAATCATCACATGACCTTGACTAAGGGTTGATTGAAGCGTGTTCTGAAGCTCTTACAGTTACGTCCATCTCAGAGTACAGGGGACCTCACTTTCCTTCCCGGAAACCACCGGCAAGTGCAGACAAGTTGCTGCTGGCAACTATATTCGCAGCAGCTAGAGTTATATAGCACTCTACATCAGCGGCATATCCAGGATTCTGTATTTAAAAATGAGAAGGGTGGCACAACTCTTTAAGTACTTTGTGATGAGCATTTTTGTTGATTGTAATTTCTTCATCACGTTTTTTTCTTCTTCTTCTGACCCTTAAGCTCACGTGCTTTTTAAGGGGCATCTGTTAGTTGTACCCTCTATATCCACCCGTCTTTAGTCTCACTTACAGATAAACCTGTCTTAGTGGCCACCTCTCTATAAAGGTCAAATGTCTATCGTGACTATGCATTTCATCTCCCTCTAGAGCGAAATGCGCGTTGCATTGTCTGTCTATAAAGGCCACATGTATGCAGTGGCCACTTGTTCTGTTTCCTGTGGGTGACCTTATCAGAAAGGTTTGAATGTACTTCCCTACTTCAGTACTGACGAAATCGAAAGGTATTATGTCACTATTGCCTTTCTTAGAATGAGCATAGAAGCAGAATGCTTGGGAGTAGGAGGTTCTGTCATTGACTTTAATAACAAAATAGATTTTATTGACGATGATTTGACACCGAATGACATCATTAAGTAGCTCAAGTCACCCACCGGCGAGTGAACATCTTCAATAATATAAAGTCCATAATGTGAAACCAAGCATTGCTCACTGGCGTAACATGGTCAATCAGCCATTACAAAAGGATCGATGTTGTGGGCATTGTCTCCTGTATCGCTTAGGGCGACACTTAAACAATGTTGAAATAGCGTTCGATTGTAAACATTAAGACGTTAAAGAAATTAAACGGTGACGCTCTCCAAGTCGACAATAATGAATCATATCAGGATGATATATTGGACATTTTTTTATGATCGAATTTATTGAGAGAAAAGTCGAGAGTCTCATATGTAACGATTATCTTGCTGATTGTCTAGAACATTTCCTTATTTTGTTCTTATAGGTTATGTAATAACAGTTGCGTTAGTAAATGAATCTCTTAAAAGAGGTGGCATATGGTCTATGAAAAGATCACGCACTGGATTTTATTCAAGTTATTGGGCATATCGTTGTGGTTCGAATTTTCTGCCAACGTCTTTGGCAAGACATTGATCCACATCTGCCTCTCTTCATCCAAGTGTGGTAAATCTACACCACACATGCAGGAAGAAATTCCTTGAATGCTCGAGCTAGCGCCCAAGTAGCTCAGCTAAAGCTGAACTGATAATACAATTTAGTGTTTTGTATCACGTGATTGCAGAAACTGTTTGGAAAGATGTATCAATGATGCGCTGCTCTTTTAATCTTTGTGATCATGGAAGAAGATATATCATTAGATACGTTTTTATTTATTTTCGCGACGCCCCTCGTTACCAGCTAACATAGCCTTGATATACACTAAAGACAATCTTCCTACCGATCCATGTTCCTTTTATAGGATAAAAACTCCTTTCCTCCATCTTCTTGGTACAATAAAGTCAATATTCTTTTGCCAGTAATGCACAAATACTGTGCAATCAATTTTATTTGGCGTCGTTGGGAGCTGTAGGGGGTCTCATTTCTTAATCCCCGATTTCAAATAAAGGCATTTAGCGCGCCACATTCCCGAAACAATAGTACAATGTCTTCTTTGAAGAATGTGTTGTTTTGATTAGTGCCATGGAATTGTTTTGAAATGGACAAGTCTTCCGTTAAAGCGTGGCAAGGTGTATTGATTAACAATTCAAACCGATCCACCTTAGTGAGTTAAACGGGTGAAAGCATTGATGGTACATTATTCAACAACTAATGACTATTGTATCAATTATGAAGCTGAAAATTAGTTTATAACGAAGACTTTCTGTTGTGAAAATAAGCGGTGCTATACTGTTATATCATGCAAACGAAGACTCGGATATAGAATCGTATAAAGTGATACATAATGAATAAATTAGATATATATTAGTATTTCAATTACCCAAAATACTATATATATATATATATATATATATATATATATATATATATATATATATATAAATTCAAAATTATTGATTTGATTAATCTTAATTATCAATGTGCGTGTTTATTTATGCAATATTTGCTTATAGAATTCGATATCAATTCATAATCTGTACTTTGAAATACAAACTTCGAGATTAATTTTACAGGGTTATTTAAAGTGACACGCATATGGGTTATTTTGTAGTCACGATAACTAAATAAATATTATGTTAATTAGTTTTCTTTCAAAAACTCAATATTTAATATGCAATTATACATCTCATATATTGTTTTCCCGATCAAACTCCGAGTATTTACGTGCCAATGTATATGATAATGTTGATGTGAAAACATGCGGAACTGTATGGAATTCAGAATGTACAGTTTCCTGTTTACCTTTTTTCTACTCAGAATTTTGAACTGAAGACGTTGGATGGAGATTGTTGCCCGCAGTGCATAGAAAGTAAGTGACATTTAATATTCCTCTTGATGAAATAACATCATTTTAATTTACGTAAACTGTGCGTCATATTCGTGACTTTAAATTCAACTGTATATGTTATTTGTACGCCTTTGCGTCCATACAATGTAAGCTCATGCCATTCCAGAGGTATTCAAAATGTCCACACATTTCTTACACAAACATCAGTCCTGTCAACCACAGAGCTTACCTAAGGCGTGCCTGATATAGCAACGACTATCTGATGATTGTAAGCACTATTTATTCTCCTTGTGGTGCAACCATACATCGAATAGAGATTAAATAGTATTGCCTCACTATTCTAACAAGAAAGAGCCACAAATCGATCAGTTGAAATACAGTAGTATGCTAGTCTCTTTGTGATACATCTTGTCATACTAATTTAATCATTCTGTTTTAACATTCTTCATCTTGTAATCATCCTTCTATATAGCAATATCCCTTCTCCTCCGCTGTTTAGATAGTTTAGTAAAAAAAAAAAAAAACTCTGCTTACATCTACAAGTCTCGTCATGAAAATTGTCTATATGGGATGAGCTACTCAGATATACGATTCAGTAGACCCTCCTTATGAAGTCATGCCCGTCCTGGTTCCTTTATGAAACATATTCACCAACACAACCATATCCTGCCCGCCTGTAGGGCATATCTGAACATTCCCCCCGAAAGTCACAAAGTACCCGTTTAACTTTAAAAGAGTGTTTATCTTTGAACAATGAGCGATTCACTGTAACTTTAAGTATCTTAGGTGAACTTTTTTTTTATCCAAGGTCGTATGTTGGTAGGCACGTACAGCGGAGAAGAAAATGGACTTCATTCATAAATATCTTGCCATGGGCACCGAATTTATCAATGTCAAGTCGTACAAAGGACATGATAGCAGGCGGGTTGTAACTCTAGAGGTTTCATTGTACGTCCACAGACTATGGGAGTATGGGGAACACCACTCGAAAACCACAAGGTAGATTTTAGAAGTGGGGAAAAATGCGGTTCTGAATTGAAAATGGAATGCCGATAACATCGCAGTGAGCAAATATTTTATCAAGTTTCGGACTTTTTGGCACAAAACAACGATTTCAATCTATAAGCATCCGTCATCCATCTTTTGCTTGTTTGGCAGGCGAGAAAATGTGCTATTCACTGGTGTTCACGGTGCGATAAATTTGGACAAAAACCGCCAATTATGAGAGATAATGGCGGGTTTTGAGTGCCTTATCAAGCAGAATGATCAGAATGTGACTCGACTCAATGCAAGATGAGAAATAAAGTAATTTATCGCTTGTGTGACGAACACAAGTCTTATCACTTCCATGACAGACAGTTATTTGATGGCTTTATATACCAATAGATTGCAATCGCAAAGTTATCCTTTATGGTATTTCGTGCTTATTGTGTGAATTTAGAGTCGGAATTATTCGATATAGAGCGGAGCGTTGTTCACAAAATTCAACAATTTGTTAAAGAAAATTGTTATCTTTTCCTTTAAATTTGGGTTAACAAAACATGAGAAGATGCCGGTTTCTTGTGTGGACATTGTTCTGCTAGCTTGGAAATTAACGAATTTGGACACGTGGATAATGAAGGTACAGTGTAGATAGTAAATATAACAAGGAAACAGTTTACACAATTTATCCAACAGTACAATCATTGTTTGTTATCTGCAGTCTCATAATTGTACATTTTCATAATTCACTATTATAAGCTCCTACTATTTATGCACACAGTCTAGGCAAATGGAGTCTTGGCATGTTTAAAGTGTTTTGTTAAACTATAGGTGACGGTTTAGGTGATGCGACGCCAAAATACGAAGGAGAACGTATTTAGGCGTTTTGTAACGAATGCATTGCGTATTCATAGTTTCATGATTAACGGCTTAAAGAGAACAACATTTCATACCAGATTATAACACAGTACACCTAAGACTTAAAATGATAATGCTCATGCTTTGAAAAAGAAAACAACAACAACAAAAACAACAACAACAATAACATTCTCATTAAACCAGATAATGCTGTAATATTACATTCAGCTGCAACTAAACGGGAGATCCGCCATTTTAAGCATGAACTAAGAGATCTAGGCGGGGACTGAGGTGGGATATGGCTAAGGGAAGGTGGGGATTGGGCGGGGAATAGATGGAAATAAGTATAGACCCCCAAAATATTTTATCGACTAATATGATAAAAGATTGAAGAAGATCGACAAGGGCCAAATTCTGGAAACACAAGAATTGCAACAAAAGGCAGGCAGCGCCAGTGGAGCTGGTTGAATATTGGGGGCTTGGTTTTACGACCGTCCCACGAAGAAAAGGCAATATTGTGGTTCGTGTTTCGCCTGATTACCTCCGAATATCCCTCCCTTTGATCGTGCTAGATAACTGTTTAAATCTTACCCATCAAACTGGGCCCCCTTATAAACCGGCAATTCATGATTACCTGATAGTGGATAAGTTCGGAAACTCGAGTTGACTTATATTGAGCGTGCGGTGTTTTTGTCATGATAACTAGGTCGCGGATATTGTGACTTGACGAAACCATTTGCTGCATCCATTACGAGTTATTTAGAACTTGAACAATAAAAATTTGCAATTCACCGATTGTATCTGACGATGATTCATATTTCAAAGAGTCTCTGATGCTAATTTAATTTCAATTTATGAGGTCTTTCAATTGCATGCATGCAAGGATGTCCCGAAGTTGAACTTTAAACCCTATTTATAGCGATTGAATTGAATTTGAACTTATTTAACCGGACTTTCCGCAGTCTATAATGACACAAAATACGCTTGAAACCCTTAAGTTGTTCTAATAGTTGATCGGGTAAAGCTCACATATTTATTTATCCCCTGGTCGAGGGATTTGGCGTTGTTGATGCCATAATGAGACTAAAAATTAGAACTGTCGATACATGAATTGGTCGAGACATGAATTGTGTTATTTTTCCCATTTCTGAAGAGGGGGGTGTTGCTCTTTTTGAAACATTCGAGGAGAAACTTCTCACTTTAACCAAACAAAAGTGGAAAACCTAGAAATTACACATCTTGATAATTGAATCATAATTTGTTAATTTTGCATTAAATATGACCAATGATAAACTGCATCTTAAAAAACACTGCTGTCCATACAATTTAGGTTAACGTTTAGTCATAATCATACACCGATAAGATGATCCTGTCATGTTAATTGACACGGATAAGTTTCTTATGTTTGACCATTCGCGTCTCGACTACTCTATCTAGATGTCCAATTCTGTCGGGATTTTCCCCTCTGTTTCTGTTTGTTTCTATCTGTTTCTAGTCATTCATATCTGGTTCTTGTTTCTTCATTCTCTTCAGAAAATGGAGTCTGCACAGTTTTCGGTGATCCCCACTACCGCTCTTTCGATGGTCGACTCTTCAACTTCCAGGGCCGCTGCAAGTATCTTCTCGCGGCCGACTGCAGTACCAACGACTTCCGGGTCAGAGTGCGCAACGATGGCCGCAACACCAAATCGTTCTCATGGACGAAGACCGTCTTTCTGACCCTCGGGAAGCACTCGATCACGCTGCTCCAGGACTACGTCGTCCGCGTCGACAGGGAAACGATCACGGTTCCGTACAGCGTCGATTCGGTGTTTAGGATATACAGGGATAGTTATAACGTCATCGTAGATACAAATATAGGTAAGATACTCTGACAAGTTCATTCTATATGTAAAGGTAACCATCACTAGAACAGTTTGTAGCTTATTAAATATCTGCAGTAACAAACAATGGTGGAATGTGGAGTTAACATGTATCATGGCGGGTGTCACCCTACCGTACTGGTCTTTGAACTTTTTCGCGAATTTCGGCATGTTAAACATATTTTTGAGAACGAGGAGCACTAAATCTTTTTATTTAACTGTTTTTCAAATTGAGAGAGAACAGGGGCTAATGAGAGGCTATAATATATCGGAGGCCAATAATGGATAACCGATTCTACCTAGGTTTCTACAAACAGCCCACTGAAATTGGGTCAAAGACTTTCTTTTTAGTTTCTACGTAGCAACAAACTAATTTTACAGAATATAATCGTTTAACCATTTTTTAAAACCATATTTTTAAACCGATTTTCCTTTACAGGTATAATTCTTTCATGGGACGGGGACAGCTTTGTGGAACTCTCAGTCCCGCCTCAGTACAAGAGCAAAATGTGTGGTCTGTGTGGCAACTACAATGGTGACCGTCACGATGATTTAAGAACTCTTAAAGGCGAGTTTACAAATGAAGTAAGGACGTTTGGAGAATCATGGAGAGTTGGTGGAAATAAATTTTGTGATCAGAGCGTTACGAAAGCATTAAAGTATTCGTGTTGGGACGACAGCGTTGCAAGGAGGAGGGCGCAGAGGTCGTGCCGGAATATAAAGTCCATGAAGTTACAGGCCTGTCACGGTGTAGTCGATCTATGGGTGTATTATAGGTAAGTCTGAAATATTATACCAGTATACCTTTTTCTGTTTTTCTTTCTCCCTTTATCTTTTGTCTGTTTCTTCTCGCCCCTTCTTTCCTATCATTTTATGGTTTTTCCACCCATTTTTATTCCAGTTTCGCTCTCGCGTTCTCATTCACTAGAATATTGAAAACTAGAAGGAACTCATCAGTAACATCAGAGGACAAAACTAAATGCTAATTTGTAATCTTCAATCAAATTATATATTATGTAGGGTATCAGTTAAAATCAATGTCACAACTTTTTCATTCATAAGATCTCTGTAAAAGTAATTTGGGATCTTGCCCTGGTTATACATGCATAATGACATGTCAACATATGTCAACGAATGTAAATGGTCTCTGGTAAATACTTATATTATATGTAATCAAATGATATGTGAATTTGTTAACATGCTGTGTTCTACATCTCCATGTTGATATGGTAGTTATATTTTGACTCTGTTTTTCTTTTTATCCCAGGTCCTGTTTAACAGATATGTGCGAATGCCCCGAAGATAAACTATGTTCGTGCGAGGCCGAGTCGGCCTACATCCGGGAATGCCGTAGGCAGGGCGTTGAGCTCAACTACACCCAGAATGCATTGTGCACTGGTGAGTAATATGACGTCATCATTCAACGTCTTCCAAGTTGTCTGTAAAGCATTTGAAACGAAATAGGATGTTGTACACGTATGTTGTAGTGTAGGTTGCGTATCAGGGGAGGGTTTCATTAATACATATTCTTCTTATTTTACTAGACGCACCTTATCATACATATTACACAATATGTTTAGCAGGTACATTCTTAAAGAAAGAATCCTATGGAGTTTGTTCACATTCAATGTTATTCAATATTTTCAGACTGTAATGATTGTTTTTCACCTATCTACATTCTCTCATTTGAAAGGGAACATACAGAGTTATTTGAATTTATTTTATCAAAATGTTATCCATTTCATAATTCAAAGTATCCTGCAATTAACAATTTGCTTTTGCTATATTTCTTTTTCTTTCACATAGATATGTCATGAGAGTGAATACAAAGTATGATGCTGTGTTTTGACTCGGTCTGTATCTGCATCAATGGCTGCCAGAAGGGAGTTCGAACTGCGACCCTGCTACGCTACAACATGGGTCTCAAATCACGATGTCGCATGAGTGGAACTCAAGGGTGATCCATGCCGAAACATGCACAGCGCCACCTACCGGGGTCTAAGAGCAGAACCCTTCGCACACGGCGTTGAACTTAATCATCACCAACCCGTTCGCAAGGTCCACTACGATGCCACTGCAATGCCATTACGATATGACTGCGATTTCGTGAGACATGATCGTAGAAGCTGTGTTAAGAATGCTCCGTCCATGCACCCTCACATTAGCGTCGTTATGTTATGTTTAAATGATAGAAGGAACTGCAAGAAGTATTTTTTCACAAAACACCCAGCGTTTGCATCATATTTTGTTTTCTTTTCCTCATAGACAGAATTTTAGAATGTGCTATTCTTTAAATGACAGAAGTACAGTTTCTTGTTATTTGTATTTTGGTTTAAATCTTACACAATCAGGACCACTTTCAAAGCAATTAAAAGTCAACATATTTGTTTTATTTTATGTGGAAAGGGGCAAAGTGTTATAACTACAACCGAATACTAAACGACGTTGGTGACTGTAATGGTGTCAAGTTTAGCCTACGGGTACTATTTATTAAACTTACTTCTATTTTTCTTGTAGTTAAATGACATATAACTTATTTTCAAATGATTTTCGAAAGCAGAATGTTCTGTATTCACATCAAAGTACATGTATTACGTTTTCGGATATTGTAAGGAATGTGGGAGGAGTGCTGTTAAATGTTTTACTTCGATTAATGTGTCACTCGGTTTTGTTGTAATAACTCCTGTCATTCATCTTAAAGGTAAAGACCAGTTATGGTCATGCGATTGCATTGTGAAAGAAACGTTGTGGAATCGATCAGAAAAGGTTGATCATCTAGCATCTAGCATCTGCAAGGTTCTGGAATCATCAAAATGATAAGAAATTTGGCCCATTCTTCGTAAAGTTACAAGCACTATACACAGAAAGATGTATATGGGACTACCCTATATCTCTCACAGACCATCCATGAGAGAAACAAATTTACCAAATATATGAATTAGTAGGCGGTTTCCTGGCAAATTTTTTATCATCATGTATTAGTCAAAACATATTCTTTCACATGATTGGTAATGAGAGCTTCCATTTCATTTTTTGAAATTGGGGCGTTTCCAATACTGGTCTTTACCTTTAATCGTTCATTTGATATCTTTCATAGAGTAGAACCATCTTACACAAGCTTTGCCTCCTAGTGACAACAAAAATGGTTGGCTATATATTTTTTCTCCGGATTTTGACCTTATTTTACCCTAACTAACATTGTATGACAATATGGGCCTCTTAAACCAGAATTATACCTCCCATGCCATATATGTGCAATATACTATTTTTATTTTATTTGGTTTTAAGTTTATACATTTAATTCACGAAATATTCAAGTAGTCTTCACATAACCTGTCTTGCAACACATTTAGGTGGTGATTTGTATTAATTTTTAATTCCTTTTGACTATTCAACCCCCCCCCCCCCCCCGCGCCCGAAAATAGTTAAATATTACACTACAAATTCGCCACATTTGTACAACTAAAAATATTGAGGAATCGAACAGTAACATGTTGTTTTTCAATGTGGCAGAAAGAGTGGTCATCGCTTTACTATTTGTTGTGTTAAAAAAAAATATTCACTCAAAGAAGATTTAACACTCTGTTGTGCTTTTTCATGGCGCACTGGCACCGCGGAGGGCGGCGTCAATCGTAATTAAATGCAATTGGTTCAGAAACGATTCAGTATTTACTTCTATGCGAGATATTTGTCGGAAATTGCATTATTCAGGATGGTGCTAATGCTGATGTAATTAATTATAACAAGTACGGTATAATGTTGTTTCGCGTGAAATGAGTTATGGAGAGAGTGAGAGAATATATTTATTACGGCTATGACGACAGTAAACAGAAAAAGACTTTCATTTTAGATGCGTCGCTTTCGTAGTGGTTGTTATACTTCTGTCAAATGTCCAGAAATGTACAAAGCAAGATTTTTATAAAGCTACCTCTTCTTTGAATTCTGTACATATATCATCCTCATTGTCCTAATTCGTTATACAGATGTATATCTGTATTTTACAGCTTGGCTTTCATTATCATGACGTCACGAGAGCTCAAAGTAGAATAGACAATTCCGTCTTTGTTACGTAGACTTGTACCACATGGGGGTATGACTAGATGTTATTCTATTATAATTATACAGCTTTCAGCGAGTTGGAAAGATTTGTTTTTTCTTCTTCTTTTTTTGTCCTTCTCCAAATAATTGTTCGTCTACTGGGCAGAAATCTGTGAATGAATACGTAGACGATTATGTATATGCTTGATGATATCCAATTTTGAAATTTAGGACTATGTTAAGGCTGCATCTACGCAAAACACTTCAGTCAAGACATCGCCCTTATTTTTGTAAGTGATAATTATTACTTCGAACAAAATCAAAACAGTTCTTAAAACTATGACGAAAACAATTTGTCTGCATCTTTTTGCCGGGAACATGTTTATAAATTCGGATTCAAATTTCATTACGGGTTCGAATTAATATCGTACGTCTGTGATCTATTACCATGTCATCATACCCAGGAAAAGTAAAGGGAATTTATCTGGAGAATATTGGCTCCACTTATGTGTAACATAAAACAAATTATCTTCGAGAACCTTTGCAGGTCATTTTTACTACCGAATGATAACATTTACAATCAGCTAGTAAAAACAAGAAGAGCGTTCATCCATTTGTAATGGCTAATATATATGACAATGATAATTATGATTAGAAAGTCGTTAAGACCTCTGAGTGGACACGCCCATCAGATCAAGTGCCCTTCTGGATCTTAGAGTTAAGAGCATTTCCTTGTCAATAATGTTTAACGTGTGTAACATTGGTAGAATTAACAAAACAGTAAATATTGACCGCTTCTTAATTCATTCATTTAGCGCCCTTGGCATCATAGAATGCCACGTTAATGACTGTCTTCCTATCATACGACGTCTTTTATAAAGAGTCAGTAGGTTCTTACTGTCTGTAAACGAACACATATCTCTCTCACAATATATTATGTATTTTGAAGTGATGCGATGGTGATTCTTGGATATTATATCCATTTTATAATTCATCGCATACTTTTAGGGAGAGAAATTGAATCATTTCATATTTTGGTATTTCACTTTTTTTTTTAATCCTATCTCAATCCAAATGTATTGGTTAAATGAGCATTATACTTATGAGGCATAATACAAGTGTTTTGCCACAAAGGGTAAAAGTGTATGAGGATTCTGACGCTATTAAGATCTGGAATTGTATTTTGTATGATTAATCATATTATAACATTTATTTCACGTTGCAAATCGTGTAAGGTTATGAACTTTATTGGTATAATGAATTTAAAGTAAAGCTTTACAATGATTATGTTATCGCACTTTTACGGATCCGAATTATTGTACAATTATATACCCCCCTTATCCCCTTATGACGATAGGTCATACTGCGGAGCTGGATTTGACGTAATTTGAAATGCTAATGCCATAATGAATCTCGGAAATAATGCTAAATATTATGCAAAGTTAGTTTTGTTTCTCAACGCTTGTCAGTATTCGTCAAACAAATTTCTATTCAATTTATTTATTCGATTTACTTTGATGTTCGCGTTCAATTCATATTCATGTCAGTAGTATACATATGAAAGCATTTCAAATGCTTCAAATTTGTTTATGTGATGTGACATAATACTAGACGTTCAGTCACATGGTTATACCTCTGTTGATAGAATTGCACACAAATTGTATATTGTGTTGGGCTGAAGTTTTTCGATGTGATTTGAGAAAATGATGTTATCCTGAAAGTGTTTCATTTTCTCTGATTCTGACAGTTGTAATATATTGATAATGTATACATTAAAGATTATTTTAATATAACCTGCTGAACTGAAATGTTTTGTGGTCTCTCTTTTGTCCCTTTGCAAAGATTTATTTAATTTGGTTCATTGTATTAAATTCGTGGACTCTAGTTATCGTTGAAGTAAGGGATGGGGAAACAGATAAGACGAAGAAATAAACCTGCACAAAATGACATATCAGGAATGAAAAACGATACGGAAATCAAAGGGCACTTAAAATTGTACCTATGATAATTAGTTAAACTGCCAGCCAAAGGAATAGTATAACAATTACGCAGACATGATGATGGTGATGATGATGATGATGATGATGATGACGGCGATGACGATGATATTAATGATTATGATGGTAATGGTGGTGGTGGTGGTAATGATGACGACGACGACGACAACGGCGTCGATAATGATGATGATACCGTTATATTTAAGACAAATATGTACATGATGAACACCAAAGACGCACAAGCTAAACAAACTTGCGTAATACAAGACAGTAGGAGAGGACAGGGCACGCAGTGACACAATGATACATGTAGACAAACAGAAAGAGAGATAGAATTGGGAATAAAAAGAGAAGCGAAGACTGAATGTAGAAAAAAATGAAAGTAATCCAATGAAACATCAGTCATGTAAAAAATTGAAGAAAGCAAACCCACAGATGTACCTCTCTTATAGTTTATCTCGTTCATTGCCTTCATAGGATGTGCCTTCTGGAGAGGGTTTACAAAACCCAAGTGTATTAAGGGACAATAATGGAATCGTTTAAGTTCTTGCCTCTCGAAAATCGTAATCTTTGTCAAGTCCTCCCACCCGTAGCTCCTTTTTGTTCCATACCACGTCGGGTTAAAGTGGACTTCTTGATTTCAAGTGATACGTCAAGTTGATAACGGAGTGTTCTTCTCGTTTCAAGATGACCGCCTCAGATTACAAAACAGGGTCATTCTCCGAAGTTACTCTCAGTGAAGATACAATGTACCAACCAACGTAGAGGGAGCAACTCCAACTGAGAGTACTCCAACCGGAGTATGGATGATTTTGTTTTTGCATAAGCTTTCGCAATTTCCTAGCAGAGCGGTTATAATTGAGAGAGAGAGATATATATATATATATATAGAGAGAGAGAGAGAGAGAGAGAGAGAGAGAGAGAGAGAGAGAGAGAGAGAGAGAGAGAGAGAGAGAGAAAGAGGGGAAGGGCGGATCAGCTTAATTCCATTTACGTTTAACCCATCTTCTTCTGACAAAAAAAATACGTTCAACTTATTTTCCCCTAATTACAAAATGAATGTTTGTTTTTTGTCAAACAAAACATTAATCAGAAGTTAGGACCAAATAACGAAGCACATTTGATCAGTTCTCATGACAGATTTATACAAGAACAATGTTTTAGTCATGTTAGTAGACTACGCGGATCCATTAGAGTAAATCGTACAATGTGAATATTATCGAAATATTTTAACTGCACGATGCTTTTTAGTGTGCCTTTCCTCCTTCTATTTTTCTTCTTCTTGGTTTAAAATTCTTTCCATGTCATCTGTGTTACAATTTGCTCCCCTTCCCCCTTCTCTCTCTCCCTCTCTCTCTTTCTCTCTCTTTCTTCCTGATATAGCCTACATTCTTTCCTTCCTGATACCAAGTTTATTTATTTTCTGTCTATTTGTAACATTTATTTAATTCCCTCCACCACGTCTCTATTTCCACGTCTCTCAACTTCCCTGTCATGATCTTATCAACTTGTCAACATTATCAACATTAATGAAAATAGTACCCAACCCCTCCTAATTAACATACAGTCACAACGGTACTGTGTCAGAGGCAACATAATTTAATTTCTCAAATAAAGTGTCATTTTAGAATTACCTTGTGTTGAGTATTGATTGTGGTTGAGATTAGTCGTGGGTTACACATTTTGACCAAGAGACATGCAGGTATTGTTTCAAGCGTCACATTTTCCTGTTTGTGCCATGAACAAACTAATA